TCTTGCCTCAAGGGACTTGGAGGAGCAAGAAGGAATACCACGAGGAGCCAAAGGCACAGAGAAACGGTGCAGATCACTGCCGAATAAAGAAAATGTGCCTCTTTTGAGAACCGTCTCGAATTCTCGCCAATAAGAAATTTACACGAGCGGACCGGATGTGGCCAGCCAACGTCATCGTGTCTCCTTCGCGTGCCAGCCCACCCTTCGCAATTGCCCGTGTGTCTCAGCACATGCAGGCAACGGGCCTGCAACTGCAGACAACGGGCCTGCAATACAAGCGACTTGTGCGCCAAAGCTGTCCCTGCGGCCGGAAGGCTGCATGTCCGCCTGTGGGACGAGCCCCGCAGCCAGAAGGCAAGCCCTGCCACAGGGCCAGCCCTGCACTCACGGGGCCGGGCCAGTGTTGCACTGGGCCAGCCCTGCAGACACAGGGCCAGCCCTGCACAGATGGCCAGCCTTGCACTCACAGGGCTGGACATCCACCTGCAGGGCTGGCCCCACGGGCAGACATGCCAGCCTTCCGGCCGCAGGGCCAGCTATGGCGCACAAGTCGCGCCTATTGTGCGGGAACGAAAGATGCAGTCCCCACTTTGGCAATGATGTAATCCCAGAGGCGCGGGGGTGGACTTTTTATACACCATGCACGAAGCTTTTGACCAGTTTCTACTTCCGTTGCACTGGGTCATGAGCCACAGGCCCGCAGCGGCTGAAGGGACGAGTAGGTGTCGGGAGACATACATGCTATCATACATGCCAAAAGGTGGCTGCATGGACTGCTTCAAGTTTGTTCAGTGTTTTGCCAGCGGCTTCACGACCGCTGAATGAGTCTCTAGTCTGCAAAGTGGGGAGAGACGCACCTCACTACAGGTGGAGTGACGTGTCTCCTCCCCCATAGCAAGGCTGGACAACTCGGAAGCTGTCGCAAGGGGGAGCTATAGGCTTTGACATGCGGTGCGAGTATAAGTGGGCCATCAATATGAGTATACACTGTTCCAGCTTCATGCAGGCCCTCAGCTTCAGTCACAGCTCGGTTCGTGTGCCAAGCTGGTCATGAGCGCTCATTTTATGACATTGGTTGCGCCCATTTTATGACGGACGTGTGTGTGTCTGTGTGTGTGCATGTGTGTCACTTTGTGTGTATGTGTGTCACTGTGTGTGCATGGTTGGTTGCAGTCAAATGAGTCTGTGGTTGGTTGCACTCAAATGAGTCTGTGGCGACTATCGTCTGTTGCACACTCTACCGTGCCCTGGTTCCCCACAAGTACAGCAAACGGAGGCCACGTCAGGTGGTGCGAGTAAAATCAACTGGCGAGTAAAATCAACTGGTGCAGCGGCTCGGCACCCACCGAACAGACAAACGACGAAGTAAAAAGCCACAGAAGATCCCTGCTCGAAGACAGACACGCCGTGTGCATTCTCGTCCCGTGTCCCTTTGTCTGGCTTGCAGCTCACCGTGAATGGCTTGCCTTTCTTCGAGAAAGAGAACGCCCAGCTCGTCCCAACCCCTCTCTCCAAAGGTCAGGACATAATGAGGGAGCCGAAGAGCTTCCTGCTTTTCCTGCAGCGATGCTGTCCTTCATCTCCGCGCGCCGTGGCAGACGCGGGGGAGTGACGAAGAAGCACGCTGCAATGGCGACCAGCGTCGCCTCACTGTTACTTGCTCCATTTCTCGGCTGCTCTTCTATCAGCCATTCGCGTTCAACGTCCACCTTTCCAAATTCATTGGCTGGCATTGGCGTTCGTCGACAACATGCGCTCCTCTGTCGGCTGACTGAAGGAAGTGTCGGTGGCGGAGCCGAAGAAGGACGAATCAACTCTCAGCTGGCCGGCTCTTCCGCGGTGTTGCCCTCCGACTGTTGCTGTTGGCGGTCGGATGGAAGTCCTTATAAGTCGCTGCTCGGAAGTTTCTCTCTCAGCCGCTCCCCTTTATGACTTGCACACTGATTTGCTGCGGCCTCGGCCCTCCCTGACCCTGACAGGCTCCACCAGCTGCAGGCCTTGGCCGCTGCGGCTCTTGTTCCGCCACTCTTGCTACTCCATATTGCGGCTGGCTGAAAGGAGGCAATAGAGGGGCCGAAGGGCGACTGTTCAGCTCGGCAGTGCCGCAGCTGTCATCATTCGCTGTTGTCACACACTCGCCTCCGTTCTGCAGGAGCTGAGTGTCGACTGCAATGGTGGCCGCTAAGGAAGAGAGGAAGGAGGGACGGCTGGCGCCAGCCGGAGAGGAAGGGAGCTGGCAAGCTTAGCTCGCAAGTGACAAAAAAAAAGCTCTCTCACAAGGGAAAAAAGAAGCAGAGCTACGACGCTTGCAGTGCTATCCTCCTCACCCCTTCCCTGATCTACGCCATTTCTGCCGGCGGTTGAGTCGCACCTGTGCTGCCGACACGATGATGCTGCCCTGTGCGAGATGGGATGTGCGCCGGCTCTCGTGGCTAGTGAGGCGTCCTGGGCGTGCCAGATCTGGTGCTGCTGGTGGTGCGCGGCGTGTGGTCTCCCCGAGGGACTCGCTCTCTAGCCTTGGAGCTTCGGCTCTTGCTAATATGTCCTTCGATGCCTGTCACAGCACAGTTCGGCGTTCTTACCGACGGGCAATCTTATTGGCTCCAAGTTTTTTGATCGACAGCTCGCTTTTGGGGGCAAAATCAGAAGATGGGCAATTGCTGCAGTCGCTTCCCAAGAGTGACATGGGGGACGTGTGAGTGGTCGTGTTGCTGTCCACGACAGCAAGACGACCACTCACACGTGCCCCATGTCGCTGAGGCCAAGGCAGAGCCCCCGGCTGAGACCAAGGAGCAAGCCAAGGAGAAAGAGAACGCCAAGGCTGTTGAGGAGGCCCTACATGCTCCTGCGGCTGAGGAGGCCAGGAAGGCACCCGAGGCACCCGAGGAGCCCAAGAAAGAGCCCCCAGCCGAGGAGGGAGAGGTGGCCGAGCCCTCAGCGCCACAGGAGGAGGGCCCACCCGAGCAGCAGGAGGAGGCAATGGTTGTGGAGAAGAAGGAAGAGCAGAAGGAGACATCGGAGACCAAGTCGGAGAGGTGCGACGAGGAGACCTCCCCCGAGGAGCCGCCGGCAGGGGTCAAGAGCCGGGCGCCCGACATGAAGGAGACCAAGGATGAACAGTAAGTGCACATGACACACAGTGTGCAACACAGCACACTGTACCACGACGTCATTCTGTCTGTCTGCCTGCCTGTCTGTCTGTCTGTCTGTGTAGGAACGAGGCGGTGTTGCTTACGTTGAAGGGCATTTTGGACGAGCTGACGACCGTAACGTTCGACCGGCTCTACCAACAGATACTCGACGCTGGAATCACTCAAAACTCTGAGGTGAGTCGGCGAGGGAGTCAGGAAGAGGCAGGGAGGTCCCGTGTGTGTGTTTGTGGATGCATGTCATGTGTGTGTCGATCAGATTGAGTCGCTCGTGGGGATGGTCTTTGAGAAGGCCACCACGCAGCACGACTTCATTGAGGTGCCCACCCACCCACACACACACACTCTGTCTGTCTGTCTGTCTGTGTCATCGATCAATCAGATGTATTCGCAGCTGTGTGTGCGTCTGAAGGACGATCTGAAGGCCATCATGGACCAGGGGGGCCAGGGGGACAAGGCCGACGGAAACAAGGAGGGCACAGAAGAGGACAAGGAGTTCAGAAGGTGTGCACTACACTCATCCATTCTTGCAAGTGTCTTCTCCGTGGTTATGCGTGTGTGTGTGTGTGCGTGTGTCGTCGCAGGGTGCTGTTGAATCGGTGTCAGGAGTCGTTTGAGAAGTACCTTAAGCCGCCTGACAATCTCAAGGACCTCACGGGTACCCTCCCACGCCCACCTGTCCAGAGCTCCATCCATTCACTCACCATAAACGGCCCTCGGCCATCTCCATGCCATGTGTTGTGTCGGTGCAGGTGGCGCTTTCGCGGTGGCTTACTTCGATTCTTACTACCAGATGCTCGGCAATTTCAAGTTCGTGGGTACGTGGATGCCACACCTTCGTTGACGCAGCAGACACGCACACACACAGCTCACCTCTCTCTCTCTGTCTCTCTCTGTCTCTCTCCCTCTCTGTATGTGTGTGGTGCAGGTCAGTTGATGATGGATGGTATGTTGAGCGCCAAGGCGCTCTTTGTGTACCTCGACGAGCTCTGGGACCACGGCGAGAAGCAGGGCAAACAGGGAGAGGCACAACTCGTAAGATACCGACGCACACACAGAGCACCCTCCATCCATCCATCCATACCTCGGTGTGTATGTGTGTGTGCAGGAGTGCGTGTGCACCTTCCTCAAGACCATCGGCCCCGTATACAACATGGCGCAATACGTGAGCAGCCACCCTTACACAACATATCTACTGGCCATCTGCCCCTTCATGCATCTGTGTGTGTGTGTGTGTGCCATCCATCCATCGACCCATCGATGCAATGGAACCAGCGAGCGGATCTGCAGCAGTGGTTCCACAAGCTAGCGGAGAAGTCGCGCGACGCAACCCTCGGCAAACGTGTTAGGCGCCTCATGAAGGTACGTGTGCGTCCGCACCGAGGCAGACAGACAGACAGAGGCGCCATAGACAGAAGATTGTATGTCTGTGTGCATGTTTGGCTATGTTGGCTGGTTGGCTATGGTGGTTGGTCGTAGGATGTGTTGGATCTGCGAACCGACGGTTGGCGCCAGGTGGTGAAGCCGGGCAAGGTGCAGGGCCCCTCCAAGCTGAGGGACATCCACAGACAACACGTCGAGGAGGAGGGAGAGAACATCGAACTCAGAAACTAAACCTGGTGCGATTGCCCCTGCCCCCAAGACACACAATCATCTCTCTGTGTGTGTGTCTGTGTGTGCAGGAGTCGCGCGGGTTGGCTCCCCCATCGGAGGAGGGTGTGTTGCCGACCCCCAGCGCTGGCCCCAAGCCCCCCGCCGCCGCTGCTGCTGCTTCTGCCAGTGTAGGCGAGACAACATAAGACAACACACCGCATTTTCTTGCCGATGAGTGTCACGTTAGTGTGTCTCTCCATCTCTCTCTGTTGTGTTCGTCAGTCATCCCGTCCCCAGGAGGCCTCTCGCGTCCAATCCGGCACCCCCGGGCAGCCAACCAGGTACTGTATGGCCCGCGCACCGCGTCCATGCGCCTCGGCACTTGTGTCCCGCTACTGTACCTGCAACCACCGGATGCCTTTCTGTCCGTGTCTGTTCTGTGCAGTGTGATAACGTCCCGCCGTGTGATCAAGGGCAGCGACCTGCGGGGCGATCGCGACGACGAGCGGCGGGAGAGGCGGCAGCGTCGCGAGCGCGAGAAGGAGGAGATGGCCAGGGGCACTGCCACCACCCCCACACCCCCGCCCACGCAGCCAACGGCCGCTGACGAGAGGTCCACGTCACCAACAGCTGCAGCAACAGCAGCAACAGCAGCGGGGGGTGGTGCAGAGGAGGGGACGAGCCCTCAGCCTGCGCCAGCGGCCCCTACTGATGAGGACCGGGTAAGGCAAAGAGGCCGGCAGGTGATGAGGTGGATTCTTCATTCCTTTCTCTGTTGGCTAATGTGGGCGTGGTTCGGTCGTCATGTCAGCAGGATTTGGCCACGCCCGTGGGCGCCACCAACAACCGCGAGGCCACCATCCACCTCAAGTCGATCCTCGGCATAGGGAGAAGGGACCTTCATGACGGCGAGGAGTCGTCGGTGGCTGGCGAGGGAAAGGGCCGCAAGGCGTGGGCGGACGTGAGCGACGACGAGGACGTCCTGCCGCAGCACCACCAGCACCGCGGCGAGAGTGGAACCCCGCAAAGGCGTGACGGTATGTCTGTGGGCGAGTTCATCGATGGACACAGCCTGGTCGATCCCTCGTGTGTGCGTGTGGCTTGCTTGGTGCAGAGGAGGACGAGAAGGAGGAGGAGCGCTGTGGCGAGCGAAAGCGTGGCGGTGGCGGCGATCGGCCCTCTCGTCCGCCGGGCAGGGACAGATACGACGAGCATGACGACAGACGTGAGTCGAGTCGAGTCGAGAGAGTGACACACACACATTCATTCATTCAGACACTCATACGACGACACGCAGACACAGACACGGCCAGGCGTCACATGATCTGGTGTGTGTGCAGGTCGTGGCGGTGGAGGTGGCGGTCGCGGCCCTCGCCCGCCGCTGGGGAGGGAGAGGTACCCGCCCGTCCCGGCAGCCGTAAGCAGTGTGATCCATCCATCCATCCATCGAGTGGTTCGTGTGTTGGTTGGTCAGTATAAAGGCCCGTATGGCCTTATCCTCGACAACATCCACTACGAGGCCACCAAACGCGACGTGGAAGTCTTCCTTACACCTTGCAGAGTCAGACAGACAGCACAGCACAGCCACCCATACAACCCTCCCTCCCACGCCCACCTTGTCTGTGCATCTCTCTCTCTCTCTCTGTGTGTGTGTGTGTGTGTGTGTGCCGTGTGTGCGTGTGTGGCTGTGCAGGTGGACCACATGATGTTGGAAGCCGACCATCGCAACCCTGTCAAGAACCTCGGCAGATGTGAGCGACCACACACATGCACACACCCCCAGGCGCCTCACCGCCTTGTCACATGTCGCGCACACTCAGGTTACGTCCAGTTCGACAACCGTCGCGACTTTGAGGAGGCATGGACATACGAAGGCCGGGTGGGTGCGGACACACTCACACACAATCTTCAATCAGACGCAGGCACACACTGCCTCCATCCATGTGTTTCAGATGATGCTGGGTCGGAGAATCCGCATCAGCACCGCCGACGAGATGAAATACGCCGTCGGCGGCCGACTGGACCCAGCAGCCGCAATCCGCTGCAACGACAACAACACTACCACCAGCAGCACCACGAGAGGCCGAGGGCGGGCCAACGGGGCCTTGTTGCAGAGGACGCCCAATGGCAGAGGAGGGAGAGAGGGGCGCGGCCGAGGTCAGAAATACATACACAAACCAGATAGATGACAACCAAAACACCAGCTTAACCGCATTGCATTGCTTGCTGTGTGTTTTTGCCGTTGCTGTGTGTGCAGCCTGGCCGGGAAGAGAGTAAGGGTATTTCTATGTGTGTGTAGTGGATTGATTTGTCGCGTTGATACCTAATCTTTCTCTTTGTTGCCTAGTCAGTGCCTGGCTCCTTGCCCGCATCGCCCGCCTGTTTTGCGTGTTTTGCTCACCTACCTTTGCCTGACCCTGACTGTGGCCGTGGCGTGGCTATTTGCTGCATCCTTCCGGTGCCGGCATCCCATCCTCCTTCCTTACCTCCTGTTGGCCTGCCTGCCTGGGTGTGTGTGTTATTTGCCGGCCAGTCAGTTACATCGTATCAGTAGAGGGTGAGTGCCACTATTGATTGAATATATATGTTGAAACGAACAAACGGGTCTCTCTGTCTGCCTGTGTGTTTGCGTCTTGGTGGGGGCGTGGCGGGTGTCTGTGTCTGTGTGGCCGGATGGATGGAGTGGTGTACTTGAGTGTCTTTGTTGCGCCGCGGGCAGGGCTCCATCCCTCTCCCTCTACCTCTCTTGCCTACGCCCGCGTCTGTTGAGTGCAATACGTGCCAGTCCATTGAGTCCGTGACACAGACAGCCAGACACACAAACAAACAGACAGACAGACAGACAGAGGGGTGCCGTCCCATTGTAGCTACCCATACAGACAGACACCCACACGCCCGTATGCCACACCACGCCACACCATGCACCGAACCAGCCAGGCAGCCGCTCGAGAGGCATTAGGTGGATGTCGTCTGTCTGGTGTGTTTGTGTGTGATGTGAATGGTGTGGTGTGTCGTGTTGTGCTGTATTGTATTGTATTGTGCTGTGCTGCATAGGACGTTCCTTCCTTCATGCGCGCGTGTGTGAATGGCTGGTTGCCTTGCCCTGCCCTGCCTGTCTGCGTATGGATGGATGCCTGTTTGCTTGTGCCGTTTGCCTGTGATCTGGGTGTCTGGCTGTCTTGTTGTCTTGCTAGTATTTCTCGACTTCTTTGCTTTGATTGGATGTGTCTGACTAATCTTTCTGGACATCTCAACAATAATGTTTCGGCCGCCTGATAAGTATGATTCACGTTGAGGTCAACAAAGACAACATTGCCAACCACACACAGGAAACATAAATGCAGGCAGCAAATCATAGTCATGGTCAGCGAAAACACCACGTGTGGACGCATTCGTGTCCCTACCGACGATACTTTACAGACACATCCTGCCTGCCTGTCTGCCTGTCTGCCTGTCGATGGATCTTTCTGCGCGCATCTCCACTCCATCGTCGGACCACGCCGCAGTCTGTAAGTGCCCCCCACCGACAGCAGCAGACGGCCGGCGGTTTTGTATGTGGTCATGCTACATCTCTCCACAAGTTGGTGGACTTCTTGTCCGTGTCGACGCCATGCACAACTATGCTGCTCACACATCACACACACAGTTATCATGCCGTTTGTTTGCCTCACGTGTGGTGGTTCGCTTCTCTCACCTGAACGCAGCGCTGCCGAGGACGGCCGTGGCAAAAAAGTTGGCCGACTCACGACCAACTACCGAACTGCACACATACACACACGCACCAGACAGCACCACTTGCAGACCTTTCGTCTGTGTGTGTGAGAGTGTGTGTGGCGGTTTTCTCCCTCACACGAGTGCGCCGGCCACAGCCCCTCCAGTGCCGGCGTCCAGCGGGTAGGGCACCCCGATGCGCCGCAGCGCACACGACATGAACGACGTCACAACTGAACCAACGCACACAGCCAACCGTCCATCAGACACACACGGAGAGAATCCGACAATAAAGCAGCCTGGCTTCCCTGTACTGAGACCGTGTGTGTGTGGCTGTTGGATGGACAGATGACTTACAGCACCAAGATCCAAAGTACAGGGCGGTCTTGCCCGTCAGCAGACTCCGACGACCAATCCACCGCACGCCGCGCAACACTGACGAGTGCGGCCAAATGTTGCCCGAAGAGGGCGGCCGAGATGCTGACGCGCCTGCACTCGGCTGCTGATGAGTGGGAGTGGCACTGCTGCTGCTGCGAGGTTTGCGCTTGGGTGTGTTGAGTTCTTTGGCGAATAGAATGCCGAAGACTGTGCCCGATACGATGCCGCGGAAGAAGGACTCGACGCTGCCGTCCAGACAGGCCACCTCGGGCGGCACCACCACCAGCGACATCGATTCGATGGACAGACAGAAGATGAGATGGATGAGGAGATGAGATGAGGAGATGAGATCTTAACTCACTGCCGATTTCTCACTGCCCGCTGCAGGACGGAGGATGTCATGTTAATGATCTCTCGCTGGGGAAGGATTTTTCTCAAGGGAAAGGGCCAGATGCCAAGCTCGCAATGGAAGGGGCAAAGAACTCGTTGAGAATGCAAACTCACGGTATCTGGTCTGGTATCCGGTGCAGTCGGCAGAGAGAGTGCTGATATACACATAGGCAGACAGATATGCACATTCATTCGTGATGTGATTGATTATGGAGAGTCACGTTGTCACTGGCAGGCAAGCAGGGAAGCAGGCAGGCAGGCCCTTCATTGGCTCGCGTATGACTGACTGACTGAGTGACTGTACATCGACAGACTGACACGAGCGAACACTCCACTTGCGGATCAGTCATTGGCACGCAGATCGATGCAGCGCATCAAGCAATACATGCGCTGGCTGGCTGGCTGGCTGGCTGGCCAATCAGAGGTAGCCGTCCGGATACCGCCACCTCTTCAACATCTGATTGTACCTGAAGGCAGCCCAGCCACACACACACACACACACACTGACCGGCCATGTGGTGGATTTGCCGTCGTGTGTCGTTCTTTCTCCTCGCCTGCATGTCCGCAGCGGTACGCCAGCCTTCTTGCGGCACTGGTTCTCAATCATGCACAGCCACATCATCAACTCGTGACGCGTTGACACCCTGAGAATGCAACCAACACGGCGGAACACATGGTCATGACGCATTTCCTGTGCTCGGAAGTGTGCATTTCCCTCCCTCTCTGTGAGACGACCTTACCTTGGCGGGAACTGCTTGACGGCCTCTTTATAGCACTTTGCCGCCGGCCCCTCTGTACACTGGTCTGGGAAGTAGCGAAAGAACACGGCACTGTCCCGCTGCTGCTGCTCGCTCGGCCTTTCGTCCGTGTAGGCAGCAAACGTCCACAGCTGACAAAACACACAACACACAACACACAGGCCTGACAGCAAATTTTCCCTCTTCTCCCTCCCTCACCAGCAGCCACTGTGCGTTGCACAGATCTGTGGGCTTGTTGGTGAACTCACAAAAGTGCATCACTGGCACCGAGGGCTTCTTGTCGGCCCGTGCTTGGGGTGATCCATCTGCTGATGCTGATGCCGATGCTGCAGCGGCGTCCGACTCGCGCGACGACTCAGATCTCGTCTGCGGGGCTGCTGGCGAGGAAGCTGAAGCGGATTCTCCTGGTGAAGTGGATGTGCTGGGTGTAGCCACCGCATCAGCGGATCCACGCGATGACTCATTGCCCATTTCCCTCCGGGAGAAAAGCTCGCAGCATTTGCGAGCTTAGCCGAAAGAGCCGCAAAGAGCAAAGAAAGAGCGTTCCTTCCAACTCATCATTCGTCTCACCGATAACGTCATGCTTCTGTCGGTTCTGCTGATCTGCGTCGGCGGCGTGTCTGCCGTCGACAATGTCAATGAAGGTCCCAGCCTGTTCCTGAAGCAGGCCAGCGGTGCGGGTGAGGGCATCGCTGACTACCAGGTGAACCCCCTCCAGGCTTTCCCCATGCCTCAGCTCAGCAACCCCTTTGGACGGGTCGACACGGTCAAGGAGCTGATCACTGAGAAATACCTGGGCAGATGGTGAGTGACCCCACAAACACAACACGGACGCACGCACATGCGCATGCACACGCATGTGTTCTGATTGGGGCTCGGTGTTGTGTGTGTCTTTCCCTCTCTATCGTTGTGTGTATGTGTGTGCGTGCGTGTGTGTGCGTGTGTGTGCGTCAGGTACCTGATGTATGGGAGTGTGGCCTCTCAGATCATCACTGGCAACCTGGACTGCCAGACGGCCGACTACTCGATGCGCATGGACGAGAGGATCGGCGTCGTCAACACGGGCGTCGACCGGGACGGCAAGCTCACACAGATCAAAGGATACGCATACACACCCGACCCCAACGAACCCGGCGCCCTCAAGTCAGTCAGCACACTCACGCACACGCACACACATGCACACACATGAGGTCGCGCTGATGTCTGTCTGTGTAGGGTGTCGCTGGGCGGTGTGCCTGTGGATGGGGACTACGACATAGTGCAGCTGGGTCCGTTTGGCAGCGACGGCAAGTACGAGTGGGCGATTGTGACGGATGAATTTGAGGTGTCGCTGTTTGTCCTGGGGAGAGACGTTCAGACCTTCAAAGACACCTTCGAGAAGGATGTATGTGAGCAGGCAGACACACAAACCAAACCAAACCAGCTTACACACTACACTCTCACCCTTCGCCGTGTGTGTGTCTGTGTGTCTAGGTGCTCGATGCGTGTGCGACTCTCGGCTTCACCAGGTAAGTCTGTCTGTCCATCTTCGGTCGCCTCTTCCATTGCATGCACTCCTGGAGCCTGCCGCACAACCAACTCGTATGTATGTTATGGCTATGGCTGCACAGGCCGTGGAACAGGCCCATCCCTATCAAGCAAGGTTCGGGATGCGAGTACGCGCCACTGCCGCCACCCGAGGGGGCGGAGGGCGGACAGATGTACGTCTGACAAACGAAGCGAGCCAGCCACAAACATGTGCCGGCCGGACTGTATACGTGCTGGGTGGTAAGGTGTGTAAATATGTATGTGGAGGGGAGCGGGAGTGTGAGTGGTGGAGGGGAGGGGGGTCGCATATATCGGTTTTTTGTTGCTGCTAGTGAGTGATAGGCTTTGTGCGTCATGAACGAATGGCGTGACGAGAGAGAGGCAGTCAGGAGGAGGAAGGCTCGGGTGACAGACAATTGCTGGCTTGACCTGAAGGGCCGGCCTTTAACGCCCCTGTTTGTTTCTTCGGCTGCGTGCGCACTCGTTTGGTTGATGCCCACCTATATAGGTGTATGTGTTGAAGGTCGAGGGCACTCTTGGCAGCTCAGCTGACCCGCTGGCCGCTTTTGTGTGTTGGTCACGTGACCTTTGGACACCACACCTGCCTGTGGTTTAGTCACATCCATGCGCACAGATCCGTTCCGGTCGACGCAAAGCTTACAAACACACACATCTATATCTCTCACCCGAGTGGAGAAAAGGTAGGTCTCTGTCCACACACGACATCACACAGCATCACACCACTCGCACAGGCAGCCACCTCGACCTCGTGGCTGCCCCCCTCCCTCCCTCTCCACTCGTTCACCTCTCCATCTCCTTATCTCAATATCTCTTTGTCTATCTCTTTTTGCCCTTTTTCTTCTGTTTAGTGCCGTGGACCGATCCGCCCTGCATGTTGGGGTCCGCGAGGGCCTGCCGCCTGACCTTGATGTGATGCTCCAGGTCGCGTACCTCCCCCTGCAGCTCCTCCATACGCTCCTCCTTGGCCCGCCGACGCGCCTGCTGCCGCGCATTCTCCTCGCCCTCACGCAACTCGGCCTCCAACCTACACACACGAACACGCACACCCACACAGGCACAGCTCTCTGTGTGTGGGAGGGAGGGAGGCGGTGTGTCTTGTCTGTGTGTCGTACGAGCGTACTTCTGTCTGTCGCTTTGGAATTCGATTTGTTTCTGCTGCTGGGTGAGTGTGGCGCAGAGCTTCTCGAGTGAGGCGTGCTGGCTGCGGAGTTTCCGCTCCTCCGCCGACAGAGAGGCGATGCTGTCGTCAAGCTGACATGCACACACACACACACACACACGGACAAGGACAGTGAGACATATCATTGCCAATGTTGTTTATGCCTTCACATTGACACGCACCTTTGTCTTTTGTAGCTGCAGGTGGCTGAGCTGCTTGGTGAGCTGCTCAACCAGCCGCTGCGCCTCCCTAACCTGCTCCTGACCCTCCTAGTCAATGACACACACACAGAGGCATGCAAGCCAAGAAGTCCACACACCATCGCCCGTCCGTCCGTCTCTTTCTCACCCGTTGTTTGGCCTCGAAGGTGGACAGCTGTATGGCGAGCTGCTGCTCGTAGTAGTCCCTCTGTCCGTCGAGCTGCGACGCCAGCAGCTGGTTGAACTCGGCCAGCCAGTTCTCCAGCCGCCCCTCACGCAGCAGCTTGTTGTTAGTGTTATGGCCCTCCCTCCCGCCACCACCACCAGCCCCACCCCCGCTGCCCTCACCCCCCTCACCGCCCTCCACAGACAGCGAAAACGACACCCGCCGACCCCACGTCTGTGTCTGCGGCGTGCCCTCGCTCTCAGACGACCCCCCGCCGCCCATCCCCATCCCCATCCCCATGCCCAGGCCTCCGCCGCCGCCCTCGCTGCTGCTGGTGCCGCTCGCGCCGTCCTGCGAGCCGTCGGGCGGGACCACCTCGACCATCTTGCCGTCCAGCTTGTTCTGGATGAGTCGGTGGACGTAGCCGTCCCTCGCGTAATCCCACACGCGCTGCGTCTGGGCCACGATGGCGTAGGTGTGGCGGGTGGTCTCGTAGTGCTGACGCGCATGACCGCCGCGAGGACGGGGGCTGGCGCTCGGAGTGGCCACGGGGAGGAGGCGGTCTTGAGCTCCTGTCGGTGTGTCCCTTCTCTTCTTTCTGGTCTTTTTGCTGTCGACTGCGTCTGTGTGGTTGTCGGACGGTGGGAGGGCCGCGTCGCCCCCCCTGTCGCCTCTATCGCGAGCTGTGGTGTTCGGGTCGTCGGCACATCCGATGAAGCCGCAGACCAGGCAGATGTGGATGTTGTCCATGCTGCCGCACACGTCGCAGCACGACGCACGGAAGGGGAACTGCTGGAACCGGCAGACCGGACAGGACGTGTCGCACCACCGCCGGAGACAGTTGGCGTGGAAGGTGTGGCCACACAAGACATTGAGCGCCACGCCTGTGCCGCCGTCCTTGGCTGCTGATGCCTCCGCCGACTCGCCTGGCACGGTTGACAGCGACCGCCCCCTCTCAGCAGCACCACTCGTGTCGTCACCCTGAAGGTCCCGCTTGCCCTCGAGCATCTCCAGGCAGACGGCGCAGTACTGGGGCGACTCCCACTTGCCGAAAATCGTGTGCGGGGGGTTGAAGACGGTCTTGGTGGTCAGGGGGGCGTCCTTGTCGCCGCCCGCCGTGTCCTCAGCGATCTCCGTGATGCTGATCTCCGTCACCAGGTGGAGCCTGCACGCGTCGCTCTCGAGAGGGTTGTAGGCCTTGCCGTCACACGACCGGATCAGCCGCTCGGCCGTCGACTGGGTGCACAGAAGCAGCATCAGATAGACGTCGGCCTCAGGGCCGTGCAGCACCTTGGCGAACTCCAGCGAGATCCCTTGAAGCTGCTGCTGCTCCTGGTCCTGCTGCTGGTGGTGGTCGTCATCTCGCTTGGCCTCGTCTGCCGATGCAGTGATGAAGTCGAGCAGTTCTGTGGGCATCGTGTGGGAGGGCACGCGGCTCGCCAGGACCACTGCAGGGTCGGATGGGGAGGTGGTGGATGGCTGATTGGAGGAGGGCGGTGGTGGGAATGTGCGCCAGTATTTGATCTTGCCATTGGTGATCTCGATGGACGGGTTGCCGGACCAGTACTCCACCTCCTCCTCGTCTGTTGATACCGACAATGCCGCCGCTGCTGCTGCTGCTGCAGATGCTGCTGGGCAGCCACAAGGATACGTGTGTGTGGTGGAGATGTGTGTGCGGTGCTTTTTGACTGTTCGTACCTGCTGGCGCTTCGCTGGTCTGGAACTTGTTGACGCTCATAGAAAGACGATGAAAGTGGCAAAAACGTTGACCCTCAACGTCTGTGTGTGACAGCTGACTCCTCCTTCCCTCCTCCTCCTTTCCCCCCCTGCATCCCAGCTCGCAAATGTGAGCGATAGGGACTAGCTCCTTTTCGTCCACCTTTCTCTGCAGGAGAGCATAGGTCTTCCAAGCCAGCGCCGCTGTACTGTTTGATGCAGACGTCTTCACGACCGATGCTGCGGATAGCGTGCCGAGCATCAGCCAGGGCGCCACTGAAGACAGCGGCGGCCTCCCACGCGTCGAGGAGTGACCCCTGCCATCCTCAACACGGGGCATTCCCTTACCACACAGGCAATGGGTGCCTACAAGTGTCTGTTCCTTCGCTGGTGGGACGGTCCAGGCGGCGGCTGATGCATCGGGATATGGGCGTTCGGCACGCTGCGTCGGCTGCATCCACGACCACCCGCCCCGTCCCCCTCATCCACGTCGAGGTTGAGGAGCAGCCATCGCGGTCTGATCTCACTTCCCTCAAAGAGGCAATCGACATCAACGGTGAGATGCCCCACGACGAGCATCACGAGGAGCGGCCAGAGGAGCCCACAGAGCCCCGTTTCCCCCCGCCCCCTCCCCGCCCTTATCCGCGACATGTGATCCAGCTGGTCGACCGGCTGATGGAGCTCTCACAGGCCGAGGCAGATCAGCTGTGTCAGCTGCTGACCGAGAAGATGACCCCCCGGCCTGCGGCGAGCGTCAGCAGCAAGGGCAAGGGGAAGGATAAGTTCGAGCCGAAGCCTGTGGCGAGTCGGGTGCCCTTCCCACATCCTGCGGGCATGTTTCTTGGCGTCAGGGCGCCGCTTGCTCTGGGCATGCGGCCGCTGACGTTGCCGGGGGTGGGGGCCGCCATTGCTGCCAAAGGAAACCTGGTGGGTGTGAGGGCATAAGACAGCCAATGGATGGATGGATGGATGGATGGACACAGAGATGATCGTGCAGTTACGTGTTTGTGGGTCTGTCTGTGCAGGAGCAGATGGCCGCCATGCAAGCCAACATGGCGGCCAATCCAGAGGCATATGCAACATCGGGGGCCGCCCCACCCCCTGCCCAGCCAGTTGCGGCAGCAGCCGACGACACCGAGGCGGCATCGGCTGAAGTTTATCCGAGCAGCGGTGGTGCTGCATCGGCGAGTGCGGCAGAGGAGAAGCCTGTGGTGGGGTTGAAGCTGCACAAGCTAGGCGACGCGAGCAAGAAGATCGCTGTGATCAAGGAGGTCCGGGCGCTCACCACAATGGGGCTCAAGGTGGGCTACACACACGGACGCACTCGTAAGAATGAGATCGGTCCATCCATGTGTGCGTGTCTATGTTTTCGTGTGTGTCAGGAGAGCAAGGAGCTGGTAGAGTCGGTGCCCAAGATGCTCAAGCGGGGGATGGCCAGGGAGGAGGCACAAACATGGAAAGAGAAGCTTGAGGCGCTGGGCGCAGAGGTCACCCTGGAATGAATGAACCAGTGCCTGGCCTGCATTGGACGCGGCGAGGCGAGGCGAGATGAGACGAGGCGGCGAGTGCAGCATGGCACGCATGATATGTCACGTGCGTGCGGCGCGGTGTGCAGGGGGCGGCCGAGGGGGGAAGCTTTTCGGTTTATGGTGTGTCTGAAACAAACCGGATGATGCGAGTGGATGGGTGGAGGGATGGATGGGCGGATGGGTCGGGTCGCTCTATCGGGGCATGGAAGACATTTCTGTGTGTATGCGCCAGGAGGAAAGGTCCCAACTGACCTTCTTTTTCTCGTCGGTGCGTGAGGAAAGGTCCCAACTGACCTTCTTTTTCTCGTCGGTGCGTGTGGTGGAGGCGTGTGGCGTAAGAGAGAGAGATGGATGGGATGGGCATGGGTGCGTTGACGGGGGGACTGATGGGCAGATTGGGACGTGGGGGAGACAGAGAGAGAGAGAGAGACGTCACTACCTACGTCGACATTACGGATGGATAAGAAGTCGTTAAACTGAAACTGGAATCGGTCATTCATTCACACAGTCACGTAACACCCAAACATGCGATCGCAGACAGTGCACGGCGGCCGAGATGGCCACACGTGCAAGCAAGCCAGACTGTCAGACAGACAGTCGGAGGATGGATAATCAAAGCATCGGAGGACTAGACACACACACCCCCTTGCACAGCATGCAACCAAGCTGACTCGGGTGCTGTGGTGTGGTGTGTGGTGTGGTGTGGAGACACAGTGTCCCTCAGACAATGGCCGGCCGGACGTCTGTGTTGTAAGTCATGTTTTGTTGGTAACCCACTTGGCGAGGAACCCTCTGGCGGTCTTCAGGTTGGCCTGATGAACATCGCCGCAATCAATCACGCGCACCCATGCAGTATTCAATGGCTGACTGACTTCGTGCAGACTCTTGCCGGCCCGCATGTGTGTCCGGGTGGTGTTGGTCTGTGTCTGGTCCACTGCACCCACCCACAACGGAAACACGGGGAGGGGGGGACAGCTGAGGTTTTTTATCGTCCTTCACGCATTCATGGCTACCCGGCTGTGGGCGGGTGACGATGTGGCCGACAGGCTCAACCTGGGCAGTGCAGCGGAATGCACAGCAGCCAGGTTATTTGCTGCGCCGTCGCTGTGTCTCTTTCCCTTCCTTGCTTCTACCTACCCTGTGAGCGGGGGGTGTGGGCGCCTCCTCGGATACTTCTGATGTTTCGTTGCCCTTGCTGCTGGCTGTCTGAAGTCTCTCAGCGTCTGGGGCGGTGGCGTTGAGCTCAATGGGCGGGGGTGTGGTGGCTGTTGTCAGGATGCCGGGAGGGGCCGCCGCTGAGACATAACACATACATAGTGACGACACGTGTTCGTGTGTGTTGTCTTCCGTCCTCACTTGTTGGGGGCGGTTTGGGGGTTGCAGGTGGTAGGGTGACGTTCCAGTTGACCACCTCCTTGCCCTGTTGCTGACCTGCGTCGCGCCCTGCCTGCCGCCCCGCCTCACGTGCTGCCGCCTCTGTCGCCTCATCAGCCGCTGCTGACGCACCCGCCTCCCGACCTGACACATGCCCACAACACAGACATGGCGATCTGTGGGGGTTTCTCCTTTCTGCGGCGTGTGTCTGTGCCCACCCACTCACCAGCTTGTCTGCCGAGGTGTTCGCCGGCTTGCCCGCCTGCTTCATGGCCAGATTGCCGACCTGCGGTGGCCCCCGCCTCGGCACCTGCGGACGCGCCGATCTGATATGCGGGATTGTGTACCGGGAACAGCGCAAAGGGGAAAGAGAGAGACATGTAGAGACATGTAATGCTGCACCTACCTCTTTGGCCTCAGCCTGTGTGAGGGGTGCTTTGGTTGTGGTGGATGTGGTGGTGGTTGTGGTGCTTGGCCTGTATCCAATGGAACAGCGCAGAGAGGGGGAGAGGGTGACACAGAGAAGCCGACACGGCATTCATGCTCACGACGACGTAGTGGTAGTGGTAGTGGTAGTTGTTGTTGGCTCTTCTTTCGGCGCCACGGTGATCCCTGCAGACCACACACAGACAGGACACAAACATATCGGTGGGATGAAGCCCTCACACCACACATGGGTGTGGGAACGCACCGCCGAAGTGAGCCTGCCACTCTGCTTTGCTGACTTGGCCATCCTTGTCCCCATCCAAGGACTGTTTGGAACAAAGGAAACCAGTGGCGTCCTGGGGCTGTCACATCTATCTACATCTGTGCGTACTTTGAACAGGGTGTCTACTTCCTCTGGGCTGCCGGCGATACGCAGCTGCTGGGCCAACGCGTCTACCTCACCGTGGGTCAGATTCCTGAATGATCCGCGCGCGCAGAGAAGCTGATCCACATGCGAGTGTCTCTTCCTCATATGTACCCGTCACTGTTTGCATCCGCTGCTTTGAAGCTTTGTGACCACTGGTTGAACGCCCCCTCCATCTCATTTGTCAAGCGGTCAACCATCTCTGTTTACAAACGAAACGAGCACCAACAGGAAGATGCCCTCATTGATTACTGGTTCGTTCGTTCACAGACCTTTGGGTGGTGCGGTGGTCGAAGCCTTCAGGGCCTTGAGCTGATGAAATGAAAAAGGTGGAGGGAGGAAGGGAGAGACATGTGAGACGCGTGCACAGAAGACCCCTGGCAGTGTGTGTATGTGCCTCTTCGTCTGTTGGAAGCTTGTCTTTGTCGAGGGTAGGTTTGGTCACGATCGGCCCGGCAGCGTTGTTCAGCTCCTCCTGGGCCTTGGCAGCCGCCTGCTCTGCCTCCACAGCCTGACGAGCCACACACACACACAGGAAGAGAAAGAGACACCATCAAGACCACGGAAACAGCCCCAACATCCGTCCGTAGCATGTGTGTACCTTCCTCCGTTGTTCCTCCTCTTTGGCCTTCTGCTCGTCAAGCTCCCTCTTCGCACGCTCCTCGGGACTCATTTCCTCCTCTTGAGCCTTCGACACCTGCTGGCCCTTGGCAGCCTCCTCGTGCACCTTTAACCTTCCCGCCATGTCATCTGCCGCCGTGCTGTTGCTGTTGCTGTTGCTGTTGCTGTTGGTGCTGCTCTCAGGTGGAGTCTCCTTGGGCGGGTGTGTGTTGGTGTCTGTGTGGGGGTGGGTGATGATTGGGTTGGGGCTGGTGGTTGTCGGTGGAGGGCTGGTGGTCGTTGTCGGGGGCACTGTAGTTGGCGGGGCGAAGTGTGCGTCCCATTCGGCTTTGCTGATCTTGCCGCTTTTGTCCTCGTCGAAGGCCTGAGAAGCCGAAGCCCCATTATTATGCTTGGACAATGGCCACAGATGGCCATCCATCTTCTGTGCTGACCTTGAAGAGTGCATTGATTTCCTCTTGGCTGTATGCGACGCCTAGGTGGCTGACCAACACATCAAACTCAGCCTGATCAAGGTACCTGCAACACACCACAACACACCACACCCACATCGAGACAACAATGAAGGACCAGAGAAGAAAAGTCGCTCCTCCGCCGTCCCTCGCCCGTCATTGTTCTTGTCTGAGTCATCGAATGCCTTCGCCGGCTCCCTATATGTCGACGCAAGGGCGTCATAAAAGTCTTTGAGCAGGTCTGCAGAGAGAGACATCCACATGTATGGATCACGTTCAGGCGAGAGCCACAAGAACAGACTCCGCACCTTTGAGGCTTGCGTGTGGGTGGACGCCCCATGGTTTCCTGTTGTGGTGGTGCTCAAACATCTCAAGCAGATAACACGAGTGCAGCGTGTCGATATCGTCATGCGCTATGGAGTAATTGAGGAAGCGCATAAACCGGCTGCAGTAGTGCTGACGACAGACACCACCTTTATGCCCACAACCAGCCCCGCATCTTCTTGTCGCTTGCCCACCTCTCCTCGTGTGTGGTGCACTCTCATGCAGGCTCCATAGGCCAGGTCAGCCACAGGCTCGGACCGCAGGAGCCTGTCCATCGTGTTGCTGCAGAACAGCGCCTCCCCCACATTGGAACAGAACTTCCCGCCATCCACACCCACGCCTAGCCTTCCGGCCCGCCCACGCGCAGCCGCATACGCCCGCGCAAAGAACAAGCACCGGGGCTCCTCTGTGAACGACTCATTGCAGGCCTTCCCCGCGGCCGCCTCAGCGGCCTTGAAAGCAGTCAGGTTCTGTTGGTTGAGATCGTCGACGATTTCGAGACACTCGGTCTCCAGGAAATCATCTTTGGTTGTGTTGCCGAATAGGGCATCCCAGAATGACCAGTCAGAGGATGTGTTTGACGAGAGGCTGGGCAGGAGAGCTGCTTGTGGCGATGCTGGTTGGAGAGATAAAGGTAGGGGAGCGTTGGGAGTGCTGGGATCGATGGTTTGGTCGGCATTGAGCAAAGGGCTGGTGCGGGGAGACCTCAGGGAAGGGGAAATGCAGCATGCTGGCTGGACCTGATGGATGCATAGATGGATGGGTGGATGGATGGATGCACAGACAGACAGACTCATTGTGGTGCGGTGTTTTTGTCGTACCAGGTAGACCGATTGTAAGATCAGCAGGAAAAAGAGGCTCAGCAGCCTTGCTGCATCCATGCTGCAACCAATGGACCTCCGCCGCATTTACATGCATTTACAGATGCTTGAGTTGCCGAACTCCTTCCCCCTAGCCAGCGTCGTCCTTACGGCCGCGGTGCGATGGCGGCATCGGCGGAAGGGCAGGAGGGGCAGGGGAGTGTGTGCGACCAGCTGGAGATCCTGCCGGGGAGGCTGGAGTGGCGCACATTCGACCCCGACCACCCCGACCCCGACGCACCTGCCCTCAACTCCTGGGACGGGCCGCACAAGGTCTACTGCTGGCACCCAGATCTCACCACCAGCTACGAACCGGTCAGGGGAAGAGGATGGGCAGCCAGCCATCGATGCCACTGGATGGACTGGATGGATGGATGATGGATGGATGGATGGGCCTTTGTTGCAGTTTCATAGCGATTTCGGGCCGCTGAATCTGGGGTGCACCTGGCGGTTCTGCGAATGGGTGGACAAGTTTATGCAGGTGAGCATATGGGTGGG